GGGGGGGGGGGGGGGGGGGGGGGGGGGGGCACCGACCTCCGGGCTAGGGTTTAGGGTTTAGGGTTTAGGGTTTAGGGCTTAGGGTTTAGGGTTATTGCCAAGTGTAGGGTTTAGAGTTCAGGGTTTAAGGGTTAGGGTTTAGGGGTTTGGGGTCGGAGTAATCCAATAACTACCCATACGATTCCCTTGAAAGCCTTGTCATGATTGTAGTCTATTGTACCCAAAACCCTACTCTGATGAAGGCCTCTGTACTGGGGGGTGGGCATATTTTGTAGCAATCTCTTCTTCATGGTTTCAGTGTAATTCTGTTGTAGGATACCTAAAAACCCCTGCTGATCATTCAGGCCGCTGTATTCGTGTTGCCACTTGTTGCCATGGTGAGCACCCGGCTGGAGGTGCTTCCAGGACTTCTCAGACACAGTGACGGCTCAAAGGCTGAGGAGTTGGGATTGAGGAAGTGGCACGTATGTCCTCGCTACCTGGAGAAGATGATCATGAGCTCCACACCCACGGCATGTGCGTGGTACGCCTGAACCGAGATTCAGAGGAAACCTCCCTGATAATCAAAGCTTGCTACAGTCACTTGATGGAAAACCTCGACCGAATGCTCGCCCTTCCACGGCCCATGACTGCCGTCCCGCAGCATCGACACTTCATGCCCTTCTCGACCACGATTGGGTTCAAAGGGCCGCACTCACCACCTGAGCACCGACGAGATTTCTTGCTCCCAATCTTTGGCACACCAGTGGAAGCAATGATACGGACGGTTTTGGGGAACGTCCCTTGCGGCGCCGGTGCGATGCTGCAAGACTGTGTTGGCCACGATGCGGAGCTCCGTGAGGTCACGGCCATCGTGAGTGACCCGGGGTGCACTGCTCAGGACCTCCATGGGGACAATGAATGGGGAGAGAACCAGCCCCTGGTGGCTACCATGTTCGTTGCGCTGCACGACATCGTAGACGAGGCCATGGGGCCAACACACTTCTGCATCAACACGCATCACCCTCGCTGCTTCCCTGGAGGGCATTGGGTGGCCCCAAGCAGCAGAGAAGGGAGGGCCTTGGTCGCGGGTGGCTCAAAGCCAGCTACCTGGTTTCCTTTAAATGCTGGAGATGCGACGCTGATGCACTCAACTTGCTGGCATAAGGGTGGGGCGAATCAGAGTGATCAAAGGCGGACGATTCTTGCGCTGTCGTTTGTTGAGCCACGAGCAGCTGTCACGACAGATGGCCCGGCAAAGTTGCAGCTTCGAGATTTTCGATGAGGTTCCTCACCCATGTCCAAGGGAGTTTGATGAAGAGAACGGGGAACCGATAGATCAACATAAGAAGGCCTTCCATTCTCGCGCCTGGATCTTCTTGTGCCTATGATCACCAACAGATGGCCTACTCTCTCACATTGCTTGCTGCGCCTTGTTTGAGTACAATGCTGCAAGAAGCAAATTAGCAAAACGAGCGCGGCTCGGACATGTTGTTTTCATAGAACCTGTGGGGCTCCTACCATCTTGGAGGTGGCACCACTTGGGAATATGAGTGATGTTTGTTACCCTAAGCCGTAAACCCTAAACTAGATGAACCCTGAACCGTCACCTTCAAACCCTCAAAGTCTGCTTCTCCAAACCCTCAAGCCTTAGACCCTCAAGCCCCCAACCCTCGAATAAGCCCCTCATCCTCAAACCCTGGATCATCCTAAACCTGAAACCCTAAACCCTAAACCCCTAAACCCTAAACCCCTAAACCCCTAAACCCTAAACCCTAAACCCTCCAAAGCCTCATGCCCTCCTTGTCCTCAAAGCCTCAAGCTGTAGACTCTAATATAGGGGCCGAAATAATTACCTATTAGATATGCTATTAAGGGTGTTCCATGTGTTAACTATGGTATAATATACACTAAACGCCTATTCTAATTATTAATGCCCCTATGTTAAGCCGAGAGTCCGCGGAGCTATTTAGATTCAGGGTTTGTGGTTTCGGGGTGGGGATTTCTTCTTGGATTTCAGTGTTTGTGGGTTTTTCCGGCTCACTGTTTGAGGATCTAGGGACCAGGACCTAGGTTTTAGGTTGTTAGCTTAGGGTTTAGGTTTTAGGGTTTAGGTTTTAGGGTTGTTAGTTTGGGGGTTCCAGGAGTTGAGCGCGCGTCAGGATTTAGGCATATTTAGGCTGTGAAGTTTGCAGTTCTTCACTTCCTTCCTGTCATTGCAAAGGCGGTCGAACAAAGGCTCAACAAGTATTTAGCGAACGGACACATGCGTGAACTCTCTGCCTTTGCTTCGCTCACATTATTTAGCTTGGGCCTCCTGCACATGCACATGCTGGAACTTGATATTGCTGGACGTACGTTCTATGACATGTATCGACCATTCGAAATGTCTTCAGCCTTGGTGAACCTGAATCGCGTGAACTTGTGCCAACGAAACGGCAGGCTCAGCTACAGCGAAAGTTTGAACGCAAAATGAATGAGCCAGCAATGTAGCTCTGTTTCTTTCTAAGGCATGTGCGGCCAATAGAAAATGAAGGGTTTATATTGCACATATGGAGACGCGTGTAACCAAGGACCTTGTCATGCATGCCTGTGGTAACTGCTACGGGCGATGCTTTAAACAGGTGTTTTTCATTTTGTGCACCCCTGCCACCCATCATGGCGGCAGCAGCAGACAAGAAGCGGCGGCGCCTTCTGCATGTTTCAAGAAGCGAAGCTAGCTCCATGAGCCTGGACGCGGTTCTCGCATACCTGCATCCGGTCCTGCAGGAAATCCAGACCATTAAAGGTGGGGCTGCGAGCGAAGGGTTTGATGCATTGGCCAAGCTGCAAAGGCTTCGTCGGTCTTTATCGACGCAAGCGAGCTCTGCTGACCCGGTTCGGCCAGAGCAAGGTCACGAAGACCGCAGCATTGCAATTCCTTCGCAGCATGGGCTTGGGGCTCGATAATGCCGCGTACACTCGCGTGCTCACCTTCGACCTGGACCCTACATCCGTGATGACTGGCATCTGCGACATTCTTAAGAAGTCAATCGATGCAGTAGTATCCGCTTCGACTTTCACGAAGTTCGTAGCGATGCTCGGCTGCTCGATTGACTTCACGCTTGGCCAATGCAGTCGCGAACTACGCATTGTGCTGGGCGTGATATCACACAATCGCCCCCCCACAAACCTGGAGTTTGTGTCCGAGCTTGGCAAGATGATGGGATGCAGTGTGATCGTAAACTACACTGCCACAAGTGAAAAGATGAGGACATTGGCTTTGCTTGTCAGTGTTGGTTCTGAGGTCATTTCCTGCTAGCAATTATGCGGTTGCGTGCACTGTGAGTTGCATATTCCAATGCACCACGCATCATTTGCAGAAGCCCCAACATGCGGTAGTAAAGTCTTGTCGCATCTGCTAGAGAGACTAAACGGAGTACGCGGAGTACAGGGAGTGAGGAATACCCTAGCTTGGCTAGTGGAGGAATTATCATCCCGTAATGAAATTATAATACCACAACTGTTCCGGGCGCAGGACTCGTGGAGGAGCCTAGGGGGGAAGGGGGCTTTGACAGGTTTGTTGCAAGTGAACAACATACAGCGCCACGAACTTTAGGACCGGTGCAGCCTCGCTACTGACCCGGCAGGTACGTGTGCTGTTTGCCATGGTGAGCATAAATCCTCACTTATCGTCTGGGTGCTTCGTGTGTTCGGGCCGTGCACCTTTGCAAGCATCACCTATAAAGTCATTACACAAGTTCTTCAGGAGTCAGACCTTAACGACTTGTTGGGCACACCAGTTTCGGTCGATTGACAGGCATGCTTTTTTTTGGTAAAGGCTGAATTTGACAGGAGGCGGTATGCAGAGCTTCGAGATCGCTATGAAGACAGTCCCCACATCAGCTTTCAGACATGGCGATTTGGGCATTGTCGAAAACAGGCTGTCGCTAGAGCGCTGGGCACGCCTTGAAAAGAGTACTTTTTTGTACTGTTTCGATGATGATGTGACTTCCTTATCCGTTGGCCTGGGCATGCTTGGCAGCGACAACGTCCTGGGAAACAAAACCACGGCTGCTCGGACCTCGCAGTAATCGCCTGGCTTTTGCAAGTCTTGGCGCGATCATTCGACTTCATCGGCATACAGGCCACAAGCAACTTGGGCTTTGCCCGGCTTGTGGTGAATGATTTGCGCAGCCAGTTCTGGTACTGTACCGGAGCATGTTTTGGATATTGCTTGAGCAGTTTATCCATGGAGGACTTGCACATTAATTGTGTTGGTGTTGGGGAAGATGTTGTGCGCTCCATTCTGGTATCACAGCAGTCGGAGGCGAGGCAGCTTCGCTGCGTTCGCTTCAACTTGCTGACTGCCCAGTACGCCTGCTTCTCTCCAGGTGCAGCTAACACTTTTCTTAGAATTGTGGATCTCTGTATGGTTGTAGGACCGCAAGCCCGAACTGTTAGCCTCAGTTTAACAAAACCAAAAGCAGAATATTTATGATTAATAAGCGCCCAACATGCCTGTTTGCTGACACGCATGCGCTTCAACACAGCACAACCCATCAAGGCGGCCTGGCGAGCGAACAGAGGACCGTACGCCAAAGTTTTTTTTTGGAGTGCTTACGTGCTGCCTTCGCACGCCATGTTGCCTGCGAGCTGGTCTGGAAGCCCAAGCTGCAGGTGTATAATATCGACTTCACCGGGAAGTACTCCGCAGAGATACACCCACAGGTATTGCCTTGCTTACGGGCAGCAAGTGCGGCATACCATGCTGCAAATTTCGAAGCAATGAAGCGGTGGTACGACAAGCAACCAAGGGCGGCCTAGAAAGATCGCAGAAGATGGGGGCTCATTTCCGGGCGAATCAGCCATGCCATGGCACAGACCACAGACGGGGTGAACAGTCATTGGTTAGTGGTGGAAACGCTTCGGTCACGGATCCTCCGCAGTCAGAACTTGTGTATTGTAATTTCCTGCCGGCTTCGCAGACCCACTCACTGCCGCCCGTGCTTTTGCAACAGGTTGAGTGAACAGTTTTCTGGGCTTTGTTCATTAACACGGCGCATCAGTGATTATGTTAAGCATTTGTGCTTCGGAGTTGGCGTATGTGGTCCTGCAGGGTTTAAACATAGCCCTGGCCCCTTTTGCAGCGTGCGGTGGTGGCTGCATCGGTGCTAGGCGACATGCTTCAAACGGTGCAGAGGAGCAGTAGAGCTTGCACCAACCCGTTCTTACTGTCCAACCTATAGCCTTGCTCCCCGAACTCCGAACCGCATCATCGGCACAGCCCAAGGTGGATTCACCTGCTTTTCCCGCTGCAGATGAAGCCAGCGCCGTCAAAGCTTTGGATCTGCATGTTTGACTGCAGAAAAGAGTGGACGTCATTCGGGCTTGTACGGTTGAAATTTCAGTGTTCAAGGCTTCGGCTTCAGAGTTTGGGGCTCGGGGATCGAATGCGCAGGTGCCGGGTTGACCGACATGTGTTCATCGTTCCGCATGGGTTTCCGTGCGCGGGGCTTGCAGTTCGATGTTCATCTTTGGATATGAGGCTTCTCAATTGTGCTTCTAAGTGCCCGGTGTCCGTTCAGTGAATGCGGTCTTTTCCTGTAAGTGGTGTCGCACACAGACCCGTGGGTTCCCGGTGCCAGGTGCCTTTTATTGTGTAGAGTGCTTCATTTGTAGGTTCACAGTACCGCTTTGGCTTCCGTTGACCGGTGCCTTTTTCTTGCCTTTCGTGGGACACTCTGAGATGCCTTGCAGCCTTGCACTCTTCCATTTAGGGGCGTTCAGATGCTGGCGGGTCACGAAGAAGGAATGGTTTGTAGTTGTTATGGAGATTGAAAAATGCTCACCCGTCCACTGGGCTCCCCAACAGTACGAGCTCAGTCTTTTATGGGTCTTTTCCACGTGTCGGCTTCGACTTAATCATATCTGATTAGCCGTGCCCGGCAATAAGCCCTCAAGCCTTCAACCCGAAATACCAGGCACAATACCCAGTAGGCTAAACACGGAACCCTAAGGCCCTGAGCCCTGAACCATAACCCTGAATCCGTGCCTGCTTTGCGAGTGTGCGAGTCGAAGACTTGAATCATAATCCTCAAACTTTAAGCCTTCAACCCGTTAAGCCCTGAACCCGAAGCCCCCAACCCTGAACCTTCATGATAAAATGGTAGGGTCAAATACGTACACAATGTGCCTGCCACGATCCATCATGCAGAAATACTTTTTCATGAGTTCGGGAGGAGTCTGTAATCAGCACGGTCCTGTGCCATGGTTCTGTACGGTTTCTCCACTTCTGACGTGCAG